CCCCAGGGTGGTGCCACTGGGAAGTTGTAGACCTGAGATTCCAGTCCTGTTTCTTACTTTCCTCCATGATGTGCCATCAGAAGCCTAAAGGCATGGATAGGGCCAAATAACCACAGACAGGAAGGTCTAAACCCAGGAGACAAAATAACTTTCTCTTTGTAAGCTGGTAGCTGTCTGCCAAATTCTTGGAGACCTGGGTGACAACTCCCACTCGATTTCAAGTGGACTGCACTAGTGCATGGCATCACAGGCAGAGCAGATGACAGGCCTGGTCACGAAGGCAGGCGCCCAGACCCCAAACCCACCAGCCACTGCATATCCTCTGCTGCACTGAAGATGCAGCTATTGTCGCTTTGGTTACTGGCTCCCTTAATGTGGTCACACACTGTGCCAGAATGAGGCCAGAGTGCACTAATAAGTGAGTTCTTAACTCGCACTCAGATGTGGGGTGGGGAAGAGAAAGAGAGGAGGACGTCTAACATGTCTGTTTGTCAAGTTCTGTGATGTAACCACTTTCATCATGGGCAGCTTCCAGGTACTAATGACATCCGTGGACGCAAGGCTGGGGAAATGAACAGGGGCACACAGTCACATGGCATTCATATCTCTACCACAAATATGACAGCCAGAACTTAAGGAGCACACAGAATATTAGATGTATGCTAGGAAGTAGGCTTGTGACTAGACATCTTTGTCTTCTGTGCAACTGATCCAAGCTTACATAACTTTGGTTTCAGCAGTGGCTGCACTTAACAACTGCTGGCAAATTCCCTGTAAAATGGAACAGTTGGTTCCTGTGAGCCACGATGAAGCACTTCAAATACACAGCTCACTGGAAAAGGAGGAAACGTGGTTGCCATGTGGTAACCAAGGGCCCAAGTTCAAGACCTAGAAAAGCATCTCTGGGGCATTCAGAGATGTTGGGGAAGAATGACATGGGGTGTGAGAGACGGCAGGGGTGGTCACATAGTGGTCAAAGTCTGGAAGCTGTCACTCTGTTGAGGCTGTTGCAGCATCATAAGCAGCAACTGAGACCCAACCCCCGTTTCTGATTGAGGTCTTCCTATACTAACAGAGCTGTAAAGGATATGCTGGATGTTCCCATCCCATCGTACATAGTTCTCTGTGAGGAAAGAATATTCTTCCTCCCAAACAGGGACCCTATCCACCAGGCAGTGTCCTGAAAAAGCTCTGCCTTGCTCAGCTCCATTTCCCAGGGTGAGTCCAGTCATAAGAGCAATCTGGAATCCATCTCTCCATACACACCTCCCAGGCTCCATTTTGGGGCTCAACCCTCGGGCAGAAGCAGCAGGGAAGATGGCTGGTTTGGCTCTAAGGAACAGGGGAAGGTCCTACACAGAGCCACACGCCAGAACACAGTGTGGAACAGAACAGCCCAAGTCCCCCCCCCCCCAAAAAAAGAAAGGGCTATAAACCGGATCTGCGTGATAACACAGTGTGAGTGCAATGAACTGTTGTCAAAGCACTTTGCTGGGTGCATTCATCTCTTACGTGGGAGAATAAAACTGTCATAACGATGGCAATTTTATTCAACATTGGTGCAATTACCAAGCCTAAAAATAGGGAGCAGAGGGGGTATTTTTCTTGAGGCTGAGCTGTTACCCTGTGGCATGGCTGGGACTGTCACCACCACCCCCTACCCTCTACCCCCTCTCCCAGGAAGTAGAGAGGACAGGGAGAAAACTGAAACTGAGCATTGCTACTATGAGACGCATCTAGTTTTTTTTTTTCTCTACATAATCCTCTTGGAGGGAAGGGAAGTGTGGGGAGGATCAAGGAATGAGATTTCCTGGGACAAGATGGTAGAGACAGGCTCTCTGCTTATGAGCTCTCTGGACACAGGTGACATCACACCCGTGGGCGACTGTATGCACCTCCTGTGATAGATGAGAAAGTGGGGCCTCAGAAACGTTAAGCACCAAGTCACCGCCCCGTCTTTCTGATGGCAGTTGGGCGCCCAGGCCTGCTGCTCAGCTCCTATCCTGTCCATCATCACTCTCTTTCTTCTTTCTTTTTCACATCCCATCTCCCTTCCTACACTACGTTACTCTTCTGAGAATGCAAAAGCCATCAAGGCCCCAGAAGCAAAAAGGCTTGAGTTGGCAACTTGGCAAGTGTGACTCTGGCTTGGGTCCTTGACCTCTGTAAGTTGTGTACCAAGGCTTTCAACTATGACCATGAAGACAATCAAAATTCCACCTTCATAATGTCATTGTGAGGACTGAACAAGATGCGTATCGAATGGTTGGCAGGAAGCTGGGCATTGGGTAGCAGGTAGATGGCAGGGCAGAATTTCCTATTTAATCACCATTACCGGGCACAGCAGACATGAAGTCACACCATCTTTATAGCAAGCTAGGGCGGAGCCTGACAGTCTTCTTTCACCATAGCAAAGGATGACCTTATGTGACTCTCCACCATCCAGGTCACACAGCACAGCCACACAGGGCTACAGCAGGGAAACAGGGCCCATGGTCCAGGCCAGCTCTGGTGCAGGCTATGCCCCCAAGCCCCCTGACCTATGCTTGGTACATGTGTTCTATCTTGCTCAACAAAAACATTTCCTTTGTATTCTTGAGGCTCTGGTAAATTTGAGGCATTTCTCCTGCCTGTTCTCTCCTTCCTTTCACAGGGCACACAGTGAGAGACAAAGTTAGCCACGCAAGCAAAATCATGAGGGAAGAAGCCCACATTGTTTTAAATCCACGCCTCTGAGCAGCTGTGTGTGTCTTCAAGCAGTGTCTCTCATTTACCCAGGCACCTGGCACACACCTGCACCACTCCATTGAGAGCCCATCTGGCTTATTCTTACCATCAGGAACATGAGCTTCTCCTGGGGGACTGAAAATGTGTTGTAACTCCCACGAGATCATTAAACGTATTTCCCAGTAACACTTGATGGCAGGGGAAAGTTGCGAATGCTTTTCTTTCATAAAGGTAAGAACTACCCAAGAGACATGGACAGTTTTTAAAATTTTTAAAGGACTAAGGGAAAAATCGCTTTACCTCCCTTACTGTGCCTTAAGATCTCTTCTCATAAAAGTCAACGCTAGCCATTGAACTGTAGCAGGACCCTGAGCTACAGTGGTGACAGAAAGGCCATTGGGTTCAAAGGCAAATCTTCAAAGTTCCCTCTCTTGAAAACCGAGAAAACAAGTGGATTTTGTGGAGGATTCAGTGTGCTAGGAAAGTAGTCTATGAAATGTAAAGAATGTAAAGCCCTGGAGTATGAATTTCCAGATTCCACATTAACCATCTTTGATATTGGTGTCTCCTGTCAAAAGCTACTGCAAGCCCTTTTGGAAGAAGGTGACGTGTATAAAACAAACTCATCCTGACAGGCACACAGACCCCCTTCCTTACCTTCTCCATGTCAGGGCCTTTTTGCGAGATGGTGATGGAGTTAGCTTTGCACCTGCCACTCAGACTCCACGCTTGCTGGCAGTAACAAACCATCCTAGGAATGATGCCCACCTGCGGCCATGCAGTCCCAACAAGTTACCCAGCAGTAGCAAGGGCTCCCACCAAGGAAAAGCATTCTCCCAAACCCCTGCTGCAAAGACTATGGTTTTATTTTGCTGTCCCCTCAGGGAAGTTGCATTTTATGTTCCTCTTTGTAACTCTTTATTTTTTTTTCTCCCTATTTTGTTTTTTGCACAATTTTTAGAAACACGGTGTCATTTTGAAACTGCTTTTTCTACCTACTAGTCTGCCAACCATATGGAGACACATCCAGCCCAGGATGGGTTGAAAGGAAAAAGCCGGTAAGGTGAGCCACTGAAGTTGTTGCTGCATTTTAAATATAGCACACAATGTGTTACACAAACACCATTCAAAAACCTGAGTCACAGATCCAGATGGGAGCATATATAAATAGCATGTGTATATGTTTGTGTGTGTGTGAATTTGTATATAACCGTTAGAAAAAGCAAGGAAGTTTGGGGAATCAGGTCAAAACCATTGTGCCCAATTTAAACATCACAAAAATCTCAGCCTTGTCACTATTTACACCCCCCTCATACAACTCCCACCCAAAAATGGAGCAAAAGCCAAGTGGAAAATTCAAATAAGCGGATGTCCCCACATTGAACTGAACAACACAAAGGCTGTGTGGCATCAATTGAAGTGATAATTATGCTGTCTCCCTTCCTGGCTGCCCATACCCACATACAGAGCAGCTCTGTTTCTGGGCTTCAGCTTGTTTTGAGGGTTGTTCTTTTTTTTAGGATTTGGCTCATGCCAGCCAGTTGATTGCCATGCCACGACTCTGATGGATTTTTGGTGCAGTGTCAGTATACAGCTTGCCATGGTAAAGAACTCACTCCTGGGACATGTTGCAAACATTTTAAAAATCCATTTTCTCACACTCCCCTCCCCAGTTCACGTTGGACATAACTTCAACAGGCTGCACCACACCCAGCTCAGGAAGTCACTGCTCAGACTCTTGGACATAAATGGAGCCTAAAAATGACATGACAGCAGGCTCAGGGCAGACCCGGCAGCTTTGACCTTGCATTGAGCAAAGCATGAGGCCATAGGTCTGGAAAAACTCTAACAAGAGTCTTGGGTGGTATCCATGAGGATCTCAAGCATCTTTGAAGACCCAGCCTTGGCCCTGAGTCACTCTGCCCCTTGGTCGGTACCTTCCAGCTTCTGGCCTCATTCCTGCCATCAAGGCAGGCACTCCATGTGAACTCCCAAGGTACTGCTGCTCAGCGAAGTGGATGAAGGAAGCAACAACTGCATCTCCAAAGGCTGAGTGTTTCATCAGCTATAAGCTGGCACCCCCAACGCTCAGAAGAGCTCTGCATCCATGTGGGATGTGGACGGCAAAGGCAGAAATATACACAGCAACAACAGACACACATGGGTAACATGGCCCTGCTGCTGTGCTACTCCAGTTCCTTCCATTCAGTTTCTGCCATGCTGGGTGTCTCCATCATCCCTGTCTGGTCCTTCTCTAGCCACGGCCACAGTGGTTCCCAGCCCCGGCCTCTCCATCAGCAGAGTCTGAGTTAGGAGCTCACTAAGGTGTAGATCATGCTGAATGCAAACAGAAAAGGGAAAACAGATATCAACAGGAACCCGTGACTTTCAACAGTCCCCTTCCAAGGTTGGATCCCATGGGTTCACCTCATTCCTGTCTCTATGGTCTCCAGCTCACCTACTGAGTCTTTGCTGCACCCTACAATGCAGAAATGTTGTCTGTTAGGATGGTATCCTGCATCTTCCATAAAAGATGTGTTGTCTCTGGATGCCTATGAGTACACTCATTGGGATGATCACTAGGGCCACATGCATATGGGGTGAGGGCTGAGCAGACTCTTCATACCACAAGCTGCTGCCACATGCTCACATGATGGCTATATCCAAGGGTCCCCAGGTAAGCTACATAATGTGTCAGCTCCAAGAGTCAGGATGAAGATCATTGCCACTGATGCAGTGTGGGGACATGAATACAGTCCTCAGGGCAAATAGTGTAAGTGAATTTTAACTCAGTATAGGTCCCTCCTGCTTTAGGGGATGAGTAGTGACCAAGTAGGGAACATGCATTCCCATGGCCTGACACGGGCTTCGGGCTAATTCTGCTAGACTGATGAGTTGACCAGAACTACAGTCTATTGCTTTGTCTATTTAGAAGAGGAAGACACTGCTTTTCCCATTAGAGACCCCTCCCCAACTCTAACAAGATATCTAAGAAGCTAAACCGAATAAAATAACCAAAACTATTTCCTCCTAATCCTGAACAGCTGGGAAACCACTGAGCTCTTCTGGAGTCTCCCATCTAGGGCCAGGCATGGCACATGTGCCAGGCCCAATTGGTTGGATCTGGAGCTAGACAGAGTCTCACTGCAAGATCTGTGACAGATCAACCACATTCTAACTCCAAAGCCAGTCCTCTGTCCATTGTGGACTAAGCCAAATTGTGGAGAAGCCTGTTTAACTCACTATAATTCTTTTATTTGGTATTCACTGAACACCTACTATGTACCATTCTCAGTGCAGGAAAATAATGGTGAGTTTGTGGCCTGAACCCTGACCATGAAGGAATATGCAGCCAAGCAACATCAGAGATTTAGTGAATACCTACTATGTGCTGTGCACTGAGCAGAGCACTGCAGAGATAGAGAACAGATGAGTTCTCTGCCATCTGGAGACAAGTGATCCATAAACAACATAAGTATAGACTGGGAAGAAACAGCCGAGGTGAGACCAGGATGGCCAGAAGGGATGTAATGATACAGCTTTGGTGAATAATGTGGGCCAGGGTTATATTCAGACCCCTTCTAGCCAGGCCTGGTGAGGCATGCCTGTGATCCCAGGTATACAGTAGACTGAGGCCGAAGGTTCAAAGTTGAGAGTGGCCTGGGAGATTCAGCAACACTGTCTCAAGTAGAAAAAGAGCTGAGGGCATGTAACTCGGTGGCAGACTGCTTGTCTAGCATGGCTGGGGTCCTGGGTGTGCCCTCCAGGACAAGAAAAGAGAAGAGGAGAGGAGAAGGGGGATGGGATGGGGGAGGAGAGGAAGGGAAAGGGAATGGGGAGAGATAAAGGGTAGGAGAAGGGAGCGAATGAAAGGAGAGGAGCAAAAAAAGGAGAAAGAAAAGGGTAAAAAGGTCCTCCTACTGAGTAGGCAAACCATCTAACCATCTACACTGGACTCGCTCACCAGGTGGAGTATAGCCTCATCTCTGTCACACACAATCCATAAATATCACCTGCACCATGGGACATTCTGAGAAGGGACAGTGGTGGGGAGCCCCATAGCTAGCAGAGTGCAATAGAACAAGGCTTGTTATTTGGGCTTGCAGACTTTTCTTAACCTCTCTGAGGCCTCGGGACTGTGCTTCACTGTTCAGTGGTCCTTAGCTTCAGTTTCACTATCTGTAGCTCCACACTCAGCTCAGAGCCTGCCCTGCATGGACCTCCAAAAATGAGTGTTTTGGTCTCCCAAAGTAAGATGGATCTCAGAATAATGGGCCAGGAGCCAGGGAAGGCCTAAGCCATGCTCTGCTGGCTTTAGAGAGTGCTGCTGCTATCTGGGGACAGGGCATTCAGCCTAGGGAAGAAGGTGATGCTGAACTTACTCCAGAGAAGAAACTGCACCTGAAAACCCTCCAAGGAGCGGCCTCTGTTTTCAGACAGGCTTTGCCCATGGGATAGCAGGTAGCTGAAGCTGCAGCTAAGCCCTTAGCCAAAAGGACTTGGGTGAGCTGCTGGTCACCTCAGTTTGTCCAAGGAGGCTCCAGAGGCCCTCAGACTTCTATAGCTTGGAGCAGGAAACATCCAGACCCTTCATGAAGGATAAAACTCTGAGGCTGGAGTAACCCTTGATTTCATGAAGAAAGCACTGGAATAACTCTGGGACATATCTGCTGATCGTGGAGATTGAGGCGGGAAGCAGGAGCAAGCCAGCCTTCCAGAGTGCCGGGTTCCACCTCAGACACATGTGTGGAGCTCATGCAAAGTGTAGGAGTCAGGATAGTAGATCCATTCCTACTAAAAGGCCTGGGAGCCATCAGCCAACTGCACTATAACCAGCTACCTGTCTATCTCCTTGCCCTCACTTTGATAGAGACTTGTCTAGTGGTTCTCTGTGTAAGTTCAGCCTCTGAGTCTTACTTGGTGTGACCATTAGCTGTGACAGTGGGAAATGTTTCTACCTTCACAGATCCACATTCCTCATTTTAAACGTGTGAATAAGGACAGACGTATCTCATAAATTTGGCAACACATACAGAGTTTGTTCTGGAATGTTGGGCAATGTAACTCCCCAGCCTGCTACACCCAGCCAGGGGTGGCTGTGAAGTTAGCACCCCCACCCACCTCTGTGTCTGCAGAGAAGGCACTGGAATGTTCAGGGACATCTGTGACCCAGCAAAGGTAGGGACAGGACAGCAAGGTGATCAGGAAAAGGTCCCGGAAATGAGTACAAAAGGGAGCAGAAGACAGTTCCAGAACAAGGAGCCTCGGGAATACAAACCACAGGATAAGGGCTCACAGAGCTCTGCTGAGCTAGGGTGTTCAAGTGATGAGGTCGAGAGGGACCCGGAAGCGGAGCTGCAGAGTCGGCAGGATTTGCTCAATTAGGACGGTGTTATGAAACATGGAAGAATTGCAGAATAAGCACTTAGTGACCCAATGTGTCACTCTGCAGGGAGTGACTGCCACTGGAGGGACCCAGGCTGAGGGCAAGGGGTAATGAGGCTGGGCCCCTCAGTTCACTGACACCCTAATGGGCTGAGCTGCTGGGCTCTCAAAGGCAGGGAGCCCTGGGGGGGGGGGTGAGAAGCCCTGGACAGTCCTTCAACTGCCTCCTAAGAGATGTTATTAGATGTTTCCCTGAGTTGCTAAGGATGTGAACAAAAGCATCTTCCTTCCCCAGAAACCCTTGCTCCTAAGTCAAAGCCAGACAACTGGCAGCAGATTCAACCGGCCAAGATCTCCTGTCATCTCATTGGCCACCTCCCCAAAAGCTACCTCTGCAAGGCCAGCCTGAAATCCCTCCCCTTTGTGCTGAGGCCAAAGCCAGGAGGAGGGCAGGACTCACCAGTACAGGTAGTAGAAGAAGGACAGCAGGTAGAAGGCTAGCTTACACCAGGCCTCCTTCTGACAGTAGCTCAAGGTGTCAGCGTTCATGACAACTGGTGGGTCGTAGGCTAGTTCTGAGCTGTCTGCTGGACAGTGGAAGTACCTGCAGGAAAGAGGACAAAACAGTGATGTCTGAGGCTCAGGCTTCCCACACCGTCAGGCCAAGGCTGCCTAGCATCAGGCTTTTCCCTGAAAATCTGTGCCTCTGGCCATGTCAGATTCCAACCATTGCTATGGTGCAACTCAGCCACAACCTTCTGGCGGGTGTTCAAGTCCTCTAACAGGTCCTGGTATCATATGAAGATATGCCGGCAGAAGGAAATATGCCACCCAGTATTATGGTCTGGATGTGAACTCTCCCCATAGGCTCATGTGAGGGTACACTTGGTACCACGCTAGTAGCCCTGTTTGGGGGTGGGGGAGGCCGGACAGGAGGATACAGAAGCTTTAGGAGGTAGAGCTTCGCTGGAGGAGGTGGAGGAAGTTATAGAACAGCCCCATATCCTGCCCCAGCTCTCTGCTTCCATCTTCCAAGATGTAACAATAACACTGCAAGTTCCTGCTGTCCCAGCCATCGTGCCTTCTCCACCATGGCAGGCTGTATTCCCTTAAACTGTGAGCCCAAATAATGCTTTCCTGATTCTGATAGGCTGGTATCCCTGGGAGTCACCTAGAGCTCCCTTTGGGTAGAGACAAGTGTGGAAGAATTGTGTCACCTCTTCCTCAGGTCTATATTCTACCTTGAATTCTACCTCTACCTAAGTGCCTTGGGCCATTACCCCTTCCCCAGACTCTCATTTAGAGTCAACTCCTGAATACCATGAAAACATTACAGAGTCACTTTTAAGGGTATGGATTGTTGTTGTTATTATTGTTTGTTTGTTTGATAGAAGGACTCAGAAGAGCAAACAACATTTATCATCTTTGGGGAAGCCAGGAAAGAGAACTGTAGGTGGAGGAATCCTCAGCAAAGGCCACAGCCACATCAAACCTACAGCTGACTGATGCCAGGAGGGTTCACATGACAACTGGGGCTCTTGCCAGTGTCTGCAGCTCTTAGTTCATGCCCCACTAACATCTGCAGGGCATATCTTCCCTGTGGAGCCCAAGACCCCAGTGCAGCTGGATCCCAGTGCTGCTCTTTGGTCCCAGTTGAAAGGATGGTGGGAGGCAGGGCTACAGACTGCCCCTCCTGCCAGGCCTGGAATAATAGCGGTCCTCCAGCCTGAAGGAGCAGCAGGCCTGGGCCTGACATGGAGACTGCCATGATAGCACATACTGCAGAGTTGGCATCTCAGTCACCTCCTCCTTCCCCTTCAGAGAATTGCAGTGGCATTCTGTCACCAACACTATGCTAAGAGGACATCAGAAGCCAGATTCGATGACAGCTGCCAGCTCATAGCCCTTGGGCCACTCACCTCCCCTCTTCTCCAGAGCAGATTTCAAACCTATTTGCCCTCACTTTGGCTTTGTTCCCAGGTGACCTCATTAAGTGGAGGAAGAGGAACAGGGTGAGCAAATGGCTTTGTGGAAAGGACTAAGACTCACTCTTTTGCTTGCTTCCCTGGGTCAGTCATCAACTCATCTTGGGCTCAGCCGTAAAATGGAGAAGAAAATTGGGATGCTGATGTAAGGTGATATATGCAAATGGCCTCCCCAAACAGCCTCTGAAAAGTGGTGGCCAGGCCAGTTTGACTGAAGCAAAGTGAGTGTGAGGGTAGACAGGTCTGCAAGAGAAATGCTATGCAGTAACACGACAGAAAGGGGGTAGAATGGCTGGAGTATTCATTCAGAATGTAAGGTGTTGCAAGCGGAGGACCTCGGTCCAGCTCCCAAAACTCAGTTAAATGAGTGGGTGGTGGTGGGCATGGTGACATGAGGCTGTAATTTCAGTGCTGGTCATGTCAAAACATGTGCTTCTTGGGGTCACAGCCCAGCCAGCCTCACCTACTTAAGTGAGTTTCAGGCCACCAAGAGACTCCCTGTACCCCCAAGGTAGATGGTTCTACAGGAGGAACTACACCAGAAGTTGTCATCTGAATTCTACATACATGTACATATACATGTACCTATATATACCTAATCACACAGGAAGGGGGCAGACAGAGAAAAGAAAGGGAGAGGAAAAGAGAGTGTTCTAGGACTCTGGATATTTAAGGACATCCATCTTCACTCTGTCTGTCTTGAGTAAGTAGGCTAGGGCACCAGGGATACTAGAACGAAGACAAGGTCTTCATAGGCAGTGAGACCATGGCTGCTCCCCAACTCCATACACATACATTCCAAGTGTGGGGGCAATGACTTACTCTCCTTTTCCTCCCTTGGGACAAGTGCTAGTTCTACAAATAGAGCCCAAACCAGTGTTCACAAGTTGATTGCCTTTTGGGGGGGCTGGAGGTAGAACCCAAAGCTTCCTGTACAGTTCGCATATGACTTATCACCAAGCCACTTCCCCAGCCACTGAGCACACTTTGCTACACTTCATCAACACACCATCACTTAAAGACCCTCGGGAGAAATTTCTTCTGTAGGGAGTGCAGTCTGGGCCTGGGCTGCACATCAGGTAGAGGGGACGCAGATGTCTCTCAGAGGTGAGGTGAGCCATCACCCTTGTGGCCATTAAGCTCAGGAGTTCCCTCTCCTTCACCTACAACCAACCATTGACCAAAGCCTGTTCGGTTACTTCCAAAGTTGTTCTCTTGCTGTGTCAATTTTCCCTGGCCAGGACCCATCTCCATTATCTTTATTTCTTCACCTGGAGTTCAGTCACATTCCTAATTAGAGTTTGACTTCCATAAGCCTCTGCTGGCCCATCCTTCACACTCTGCCAAGGATCACCTTCCTCCTCCAGAATGTCTCATGGCCTTCCAGTCTCCACAGGTCCCCAGCTATCCATCAACTGTTCTTGGACTCTCCATGTGAGATTCCCAGCTACTCATCAACTGCACCCTTCAAGAGCCCCTATCCAACCACGGAGAAAGATAAAACTGTCTCCCAAACATGCCAAGTGATCTGGCACTTCTGGGCCTTTGTACATGCTTTTATGGATTTTTCTACACTCTTCAGACTAATGTAAGTGTTTCTTTCTCTACAAGTCATCCTCATATGTCTGTTATTTTTTCTGCTGCTAAAATGTACCTAGGATAAAGATTCATACATATTTTCATCTAGGAATTCTCCTCAGTTCCTAGCAAGTATTATGTGCTCCATACATTTGCTAATGACAGAGTGGAATGTTCTAGGTGTGGCTAATTCAAGGCTATATTTTATGGGAAAGTGGTAATGATGAGCAAACTGGCTTAGGGGTTCAGCGCTCTGGGATTAAAGGGTTCGAGGAAGGCAATTGATCCACATGATTACAATCTCCATTTCTCAGGTAATTTCCACTTTTGTTCTATATCCATATCCTACAGAGAACCCATACCATGTGATCCAAAGCCCAGTGTTAGATAAGAAGAGAATGCTTAACATCATAACTGCCCCCAGGAAATCTAGCACAACTGGTAAGTGCTTTTTTAATAGGAGACTATGTAAACATCATAAAGTTTGCCCTTTTGATGTATATATACAATTTGGTGAGTTTTATTACATTTATGGAGTTGTACATTGATCATCACTATCTAATTCCAGAGCATTTTCATTACCTGTACCCTCAAAAAAAATTACCCATTGACAGTCATTTCCTATTCCCCTCAGCCTTTGGAAAGTACTAGTTTACTTTAAACGTCTATGGATTTTACTATTCTGGAAATTTCATATCAACAGACTCATACAATGTATGGTCATTGGATGTGATATCTTTAACATTGCACGTTTAAGTACTTCTTGTTTTTTTTAACTTCCAAATAATATTCCATTGACTGGATTCACCACATTTTCTTGACCCATTCATCAGCTAATAGGCATCAATGTTGTTTTCACATTTTGGATACAGTGGATAATGTTGTGGCTGCTTTTCACACTAACCTGCAGGATTGAGGTTGATTAACAAGGGTCAAGAGGACTTACTTCCAGCTCTGGAGAGTTAAGTCTGTTCTGGGTAGCTTTGTTTGTCAATTTGACACAACCTATAGGCATCTTGCAGGAGAACCTTAACTGAGGAACTACTTAGATGCTGCTGACCTATGGGTGTGTCTATGAGGGATTGTCTCCACAGATGACTGATGTAGGGGGCCCCAGCCCATTGTAGGCAAGCGGTACCATTCCCTGGACAGGTGGTCCTGAGTTATTTAAGAGAGCTAGCTAAACATGAGTCTGCCAGTGAGCCATCAAAACAGTTTTCCATTGTTTCTGTTTACAAGCTTCTGCTTGAGTCCCTGTCCCTCAATAATGGGCTGTAACCTATAGCTGGTCCCTTCCCTAAAGTGCTTTTTGTCAGAGTGTTTAATCACAGCAGAATGGTATATCTATAACAAGGTTTCTAAAAGACAGAGATGAAAGGAAGGAACCTAGTGTCTGATCTATCTGGGCACACTGTCATTGGGTGAAAAAGTGAAGGATGGACCAGTCCCAGACTGACCTACCTCCAGAAATGATAGAAAAGCAGTGGCACGTTCAGCCCCAGGGTGAGCCACTCCTGAGCACACAGGAACATGATGCAGAATAGGCTGTGGATAGAATACTCTGGCAGCACCAGCTGGAAGGGAGCAGAGACACATAGGCCTGGTTAGAGGAAGGCACACTCCACCCACCCACTCCTTCCCGTGCAAAGGTCCACCCTGCAGCAAGCTCACTTCCCTATGACTGAAAGCTTCCTTCTGTGAAACATTCTGTGTTTTAGACCCAATCTCAAGCAGACACAGGCCCTCTGTACTTGCCTGGGGAATAAGGGAGGAATTTACCCAGCATTGGGGCTGTCTGGAAAAACTGGGAGTGTTCTCTGTCACCTGCCACCTTCCTGGCTTTGTGTCTCTAGCTCCTCTGTGCCCTCTTCTAGCTAATAGGTGTGTTTATTCACAATACAGGAAGGTCAGGAGTTCCTAATATAGAAAGGCAATGACTAATGATGGGCAGACAAAAAAAAAAAAAAAAAAAAAAAACGAGAGAAACACCAAGTTGATGGGAGATGTCATTCTGTATATGTTTCTCATATTGGTTAATAAATAAAGCACTGTTGGCCAATAGGAAAGGAAGATAGGAGGGACTAGGAGACAAGGAGGAAAGAGGAAGTAGTAAGGAGGAGTCAGGATGGAGAGCCTGGAGAGAACAGAACTGCCATTCCTCCACTCTCGGTAAGACCACGTGGAAATACATAGAAATGGGTTAATAATTAAGACAGAGCTAGCCGATAAGAAACTAGCACCTGGCCAACAGCATTATATCAAATACAGAGTCTCTGTGTGTTAACTGGGGCTGGCGTGGCTGCAGGACAAGACCAGGCGGCGGTTGGAAAAACCGTACACCCTACACCAAGTAGCAACAGTGAAGACAAGACAGGTAGCCTCTATGTGAAGGTAGAGAGATGAGCTCAGACTCAGAGGGGCCAGATGGAGGAGTGGCTCCTCTCCCGGGTGGGTATATGTGACATAAATGAAAACTGTAAGCTAAAGATAACTAGAAGGTAGGAATTCAACCCTTTCCAGTATGGAGGGCTATAGTTATGCAAACACACTCATGAAGGCAGGATACACACACACACACACACACACACACACACACACACACACACACACACACACACAAGCATGCATGTGCATGGCCTGTGCATCTCACTTAGACAATCATGAATGCTCTGGTCTTCCAACAAATTCTCTTTCAAGAGCCATATCAAACTTGTTTCTAAAGGAATCACTGCTCATCTTCTCCTGTACCTCTCATCCCCAAAACGATCCCTTTTATAAACTTACATTAAAAAAAAAAAAGTAACACGTAAGTTTTAATCACTAACTATAGTCTGGAAGTTAAAAAAAAGAATATTGTGTGTGTGTGTGTGTGTGTGTGTGTGTGTGTGTGTGTGTGTGTGTGTGTGTACAAATGCTCTGGACCAATCTGCTTGGGTACAGAACATGATTTTAGATTTTCACTGTAGGCAGATGAGCTACCTGACCAGTTGGCCCCTGCAGAAGATAACATATTCATGCATTAAAAGCAAATACGCATACAGGCACACATGTAAGAAATGTGTTTTGTAATTGGAGGCCATCTTTGTTATCACCATCTGGTGGAGTGAACTACATTAACCTTAAGTTAATCAGTGAGCACTGATCATCCAGGGTCATAACTTCAGGGGTGAGCCAGGCACTGCCTGCACCTATGAATCTCAACTGCATGGTAGGAGGGGGCACATCCCATCATTTCTCCTTAGGGGACCTCCAAGTTGTCCTTGCCAGCTTCATCTGTATCCAGCGGGATATCACTCGCTGCCTCCCATGCATAGAGAAAGCCCACATTCTTGAAGCTAGTATGCCAGCCCTGCTCTGACACTCACACATCTCTACATTCCAAGCATTTATGCCAAGTAATTAGCATGTTTAGAGACAGCTACTCCAGGCCTGAATCATCCATTACAGCTCTCTTCCTGAGTCCAATGCCAGTGACAAACCTGTGAATGATGGCAGTTCAGAATTCATGTCCCTCTATCAATCACACTGCTCCTTTTTCTTTGGGACTTGATTGATAGGGGAAGCTGTGAGGAGTAGGGAGGGTATCTCAATCCTTAATTGAGCCCAGCTTGCCTTTTAGGGGCAAGGAGAAAAGCTAACAAACTTCTGCTATTCTGTATGGCTCTTCCAATGACCTCTTGAGTATCTAAAACACTGAGCAGGCTCCTTCCCTTAACCCTAGGAGACTTCACATGGCAGCAATGTCCTTGTGGTATACTTATTGTCCCTCCTATTCCACAGTATCCTTTGTTACACTGATATGGACATGTAAGGATCTTATTCCTCCCAGACCAGATGGGGCTTAGGTAGGCAACATGGGCTGGCCTGCATCATGGCCCCTCTGCATTATCTCTCCTTTCCACTACTTGGTCTTTGGAGCACAAGACATTATGTCCCAGGTCTCAGCAGTTGGGAGGGGTTGCCTGGGCTGTGAGTGGAAACTATATGAGAAGCCTGGAACACTTAACAGCCAAAGAAAAATGCCCCAAAGTCCTATTTTGTTCTCCCTGATGTTGCAAAAAACAGTTACAACAATGGGCATACTTCATCATTCTGACACCGTAAGTAAAGAGAAAGGCCCCCAAGCAACCTGTGATGGGTAGAGAGAGAACAAGACATAAACTTTTGTTGTTCTGAGCTACTGAGAGTCATATGTTCCTTCTTACTGCAACACACTTTGATCCATCTTGTCTGATATAGTCAGAGCCCCAGGATGAGAAATCAATGAGAAAAGCAAAGCTGTGTTCTTCCTCCCTCTTCATCCTCTCTGAGCATCCTTCCAGGCCTTGCTTTAATAAGCCACTGAGGATGCTGTGGCATGTTCCTGTTACTGGGCATGTTGAGCACCAGGCAAAGGGCCACCAAGCAGGCAGAATGCTTATTCAGTCTGGTATGCAGTCAGCTGTGTGGCTCCCTCCCAGCTCAGACAGAATAATTGCTAGAGAAGGATGCCCCACCCCTGAACCTACCAGAGAAAGTGCGGAAAAGTTGATTGAAACTGACCATACCTCTGGCCAGCATCATTCCTTAGCATTGGCAGATACTGCCTCCTGTAATGGAGCTGTTGAATGGTACCAATCCTTGTGATTCACTGAATGAATTATAAATAGGAACCACTTCATGTTGGCCACAATCTGCTGAGACCCCATGCCCTGCTTTCTGTGGTTATAAATAGTAAGAGTGGTCTCACTATTGACATCATAGGGTTGCTAAAAATATGGTAGTTCAAGTCAGCATTACCTACACACATCTATGATTCCGGGCCAAGGGAGCAAGTTACATAGTGAGACCTAGTCTCAAAAATGCAAATTCTAACAAGCAAAAGACAGCAATGCATGCCAACTCGGGAATGGTCAAGGCTCTGTGATCCCGGTAGGACCAAGCACTGTCGGAAAGGAAGAACAGATCTAACTATGCATGGAAACCAGAGGTCAGTATTTAGATGACAGGGCTTGCGAAACAGAACACAGGGCTGAGGAGAATGCTCAGTGGTTATAGCACTTGCTGCACACACGAAGAGCCACAGAAACACACATGCATATCAGGTAGGTGTGGTGGCCCACCTATAATTGCAGCCTCAGAAGCAGGTGACAAGGGATCTTCAGAGCAAGCTAGCTAGCAAAACCAGCCATAAGGGACAAGCTCTGGGCTTGATTGAAAAATCCTGCCTCAATGATGATGAAAGAAGAGTGACTGAGGACAATCTCCACCATCAACCTTGACTCTCTACATACTCGTACGTACATAGGCATGTGTCCCCACACACAATGGCTCATACACATGCAAAAAGATGTCTACATGGGTATGTACATATATGCACACACAAGATGGAAACAAGAAAAATCAACAACGACAAAACAAAGAAGTCACTGCCCTGGGTAGCTCTCCTACATGGCCACCGAAAGAATCATTTATTTCTCAGTGTATAGGTCAGGCCAGATGCCAGGTTAAGACTGGAGTACCTGCCAAGCCCCTCCCACTTCTGACTTCCTGCCCAGATATTAGTAGTCAGTTTATATCTGCTGGCAAATATTCCCATCTGGATATCCCTGGGCCACTTTGAACTGAATCCTCACATCCTCCCTGCAAACATTCTTTCCCAAGCCTCTAATTCATCCCAACGCCTGCCTCTATGCTTCCTCCTTCCCATCAGGCCTCATGGGGATGCTTTCCAAATCCGGCATCATCATTTTCTACAGGGACACTCAGTTCTGCTCTTGTTTGTTTGTTTGCTTGGTTTGTTTTGGTTTTGCTTGTTTTTTGTTTTGTTTTGTTTTTCTATTGCCCCCTGCAGGCCTGGGCATCTGTCCCTCCCCCAAAGCTATGAGAACCTCTAGCAGAGTTCTGTCCCAGGGGCAGGGTCCTTCTGCCCAGAAGAGTTACATCTGTCTTCCATGTATGGCTTGGCGCTAAGCTTTCATCCATCCATAGTCTTACTTTCCCAGGAATTTTTAAAATCACATTCATTTTTGCATGCCAAAATATGTGGAATTTTATTTGTAATTAAAATAAAGTATTAAATACTTGGTTTTAGCAATCTAAAGCATTTAAAATATATTGTATAAAAAATCAATACCAAAACAGAATTATAATATTTAAAACACTTTGTTTTCTGGGGTTTTTTTATTGATTAAATTTGTTATTAGATAATTCCATACAGTGCTAGATTCTGGAAGGGAAGGAATCATTGTCTCCAATAATATTCTCTTTTAAACAAGATTTAAATTTATTCTTATTTGTGATCTAAATATTTTTCCCCTGTCACTGCAGCTTCTCGATCTTTCATGCACCTACCCATTGGTTACCAGGATGTAGGTTGTCAGTAAGCTTGTGTGTCTTGGGAGAATAATGCCATGTGACAATTTTAGGATTACCTTCGATGTTCTGGTAGAGAAGGACAGTGGGTATGGGAGGGGAGACTTTTCTTGGCCTTGTAGGAAGAGGAAGTGGGGAGCACGTGGCTATATCCTGTACTGGAAGTGCAGGAATGATGTGCTTGGGATGGGGAGCCCTAAAGCTAGGGAATGGGGCTAAG